AACTTAAGTAGGGAGTGGAGGAAGGAAAGGGAGAGAGAGAGAGAGAGAGAGAGAGAGAGAGAGAGAGAGAGAGAGAGAGAGAGAGAGAGAAGGGGAAGAGGAAAAAGAGGGAGAAGTAGGCAGAGTTTTACTATTTTTAAAAAATTTTTTGAGACAGGGTTTCTCAGTGGCTTTGGAGCTTGTCCTGAACTAGTTCTTGTAGACCAGGCTGGCCTTGAAATCACAGAGATCCGCCTGCTCCTGCCTCCTCCGAGTGCTGGAATTAAAGGCGTGCATCACCAGTGCCTGGCAGAATTTTGCCTTTTAAAGAGACAGGGTACTTCCTGCCCTGCACTCAGGTTTGACATAGGACATGACACACTGTCAGGTCCTCAAGGGGCACAGCCAGGTTCCTCTGGATGCTAACACACAGGACTTTGAATGACCTTCTGACCTTGGACATGGCTTTAAAATTGGTCCAGAATTGTATTTGGTGTGGAGCAAAGAGGAAAAGCTTTGGAAAACGCTGCTGGGCCTGAGAAGATCAATTATTCCTGTTGTGAAGAACTGATAATACTTCCTCATTCTCAAAATGGAAATGGCCCCTTAGCCTTAGTGTCTGAACAGACGTAGTACAGGAAGAGCAGGTGGATAGGAGCTGGCTTAAGTCTTTGTTCACTGGTCTGGTGATGGAGAAAGAATGGATGTTATTTTGACTGATGGGAAGAATTCAAAGGCCCCTAGAGGCAACAAAGAGGGTGAGTGGTGTGTGTGTGTTCATGTATGTGGGGGGGATATGTGCATAAACATGCACATGTGTGTCCAACTGTTCAGGTGAGTGTGGAGGCCTGAGGTTAAAGTCAGATGTCTTTCTCCAGTCTCCTCACCTTGTTTTTTTTTGAAAGAGAGAGAGTCTCTCACTGAACATAGAGCTCACTGATTGTATCAATTAGGCAGCCAGTAAGCCTTAGGAACTCACCTGTTTCTGCTCCCCAAAGACCACGTTTACAGACATGTACAACCATGTCCAGCTCTTACATGAGTGTTGGGGAATCCTAGTAGCATCCCTGTAGGACAGGGACTTTATCAACTGTCTCCCCAGTCCCGCAGTGATGTTTCTGATGTGAGGACCTCACCTGGCATGTGACCCAAAGCACAGCTGTGATGCTGGACGTTTTTACGCCCATTACCTCATCCATTCACACGGAAACTTACAAAAGCAGCTGTCTCACGCTCATACCCAGCACCATGCTGCTGACATCTGTCCCCTGGTCCAGTATTTCCCCCTGGACCAGTCTCCTGTCCCACTCTGCCACTCAATCCAGAGTTCATCACCCCGCAAACCATTGCTATTGAAAACAGCAGAGAGGTGTTCGTTCAGTAGATTTCCCACTCCGGAATCAGGACAGCACAACCATTTACAAGTGACTCACTTCCTTGAGGGCTGGGAGAAAATGTTTTCACTCCAGAGCCTGGGCCTTGTGCTGGGCGGAGTCCCTCTGCAGCAGCAGCAGCAGCACTGAGGTCTCTGTAGTGAGAAAGGTGAAGCCCCTGCGGCTCTGAGTGAAAAGGGGCAGGAGGCAGGTGAAGCGTGAGTCATCCCTTCAGATGCTCCCAGGAGCCGACCTGGAGGATCACCACTACCACCTGTGTCACCAGGGGCCAGGACAATTAAACTAATGGCACAGAAGGAACTGGACACATAAAATATGCAGAATTAACAGTCTGTCGTCTGTAGCAAAGTTTATTCTGTGTGTACTTCAGGCCAGTGAACTGAGATTTATTCTTCCTAGTCATGGTTTCCTTTGTGATCATTTTTCTCTCAAAAGGAAATAGAAAATTAAAAAAAAAAAACAACCTCAGGGCAGTTAACCTCAAATAAATTAATGTGTGACGTGAAAATCAGACACTTGGTTAGGCATGTGTGCTCTGGAAGGGGAGTCGCAAGCTATAGTATATAAGTCAGTGTTATTTGAAAATGACTGGTAAGGTACTGAAAGGGTAAAAACGTATAACATTCTTAACTTTTAAGTTTTAAAAGACATGAGTGAAACAACACACAAGCCCAAACTTTAGCCCCAAACAGTTGTACCTGTGGCGCTTTACAGACAGGGCTGGAGGGAAGGCTTAGTGGGCAGGAGCTCTTGGTGGGCAGGCATGGTGACAGGAGATGTTTGGGGTCAGATCCTAGCACCCACGTAAAAAGCCAGTGTGGCTGCTTATGCCTGTCACCTCAGCCCTGTGCAGGTAGAGACAGGATCAGTGGGGACCGCTGGCTGCCAGCCTGGCTCCAATTTCTGTGAGAGACTCTGTCTCAGAGAAATAAGACAGAGAGTGATATAGCAGGGCACTAAATGTACTTCTCACACAGACCCATGCACACTCATGTGTGTACACATATATACACACACAAGCCTTACAAACAGTAACCCATAAAGCAGGAGTTTGCTTCTTACAGGCTACTGAGTGTTGTTGACTCTCGCTAGTTCCCATACAATGTGTGCTTCTCAAAGAGGTAACTGTATAAACTGAGGACATGTCAGCTCCAAGGTATGGTTGAGGGGAAGGTTTGTCTTGCAAATATGAGAGAGACATAGCTAGAGCTATCTGGAAGTGTCCAGGGCAGGGAGAGGAAGCAGCAGACGGAACGTTGCCAGCAGAAAGGACTTGGTCGTGAGAAGAGAAAGGGAAGAAGAGCAAGAGAGTAAGGCAAAGAGAATGAGGGCAAATGAGACCAAGGAAGAGGCGGCCCAGAGAATGCACAGCCAAAATAGTCAGGTTATACAGGAGCGAGAAACTGGGAAAGGGAGGCCTCGAGATGGAGATGTTTAGGGAAGGGAATGGAGTGAAAAAAGCTGAGAAGAGCCAGGGGGTAAGACCACTACCATAATTTAAAACCAAATTAGAAGCAAGCTCTAATTAGATAATGGTTATGTTGATGGACTTTCTGGCCAGGTCTGTCTCTGTGTTTCCAGAAAATGGCCCCAAGTCACGGTTTGCAGGGGCTTAAAAAGGCAAAACCCATAATTCACCACATTTCCCAAGGGGTCCAATCAGCAGCAAGCATACATACATCCTGATGCATTTCCTGCCTGTGAGCCTCCCGCTGGCATTGGTCAAGCGCAGTGGGTATAGACATTGGGTACAGATGGGTCAAATGGGCTTGTTTAGGAGAGTGAGAACCTGTGGGTTGTTACCTCCTGTAAACCACAGCCTCTAGTGTCAGGAATCATCTGTCTTTGAGCAAGGGACTTGCAGGTTAGGGGCATTTTTGCTTCATGGATCTCTTAGGCACAGTAATTACAAACTTAAGAGTGTAACTTTGGTCCTCACAGATGCCAGCATGGACTCATGTTGTCTTTATCTGAGTTATTCTATTTACCAACTAAGACTTGGGAGTCAGATACTGGGGTCAAGAAGCAACCAACTGACCTTCCTTTTTGGCCAAAGACCTCGACACCCCCCTCTCACCCACCCCGGTCCCCCCACCCCTGCAAGAGGTACCCTCCTCCTCTTAGTCCCACCTACTCCCCCCCCATCTGTATTCTCAAGTCCTCCACATTCCCTAAGCTAATTCTTGTTAGCTAGTCGCTGGCTCCGCCCCCAGACTCAAGGTTAGTTTTATTAACCCAGTCTCAGTGTGATCAGATATCCCACAGCAGACTCAGTAACAGAGACTTGTGATACTGGGAGAGGCTGGTGGCGAGCATGTGCGTGGGGTGCTAATATCAGCAGATGACCGTTTGTGCCGAGTTCCTTTCGGGCCTGACAGGACGATTTTAAGAGAGCAGGCAATGTTTGGAGTAAACAAGTCTCTCTGAAGCCAACATTTTTACATGTTGTGTTGATTTCACTCCTTCCTCTGAGAACTGGTTCATAATAGGTCATAATTTAAGTGAATTGCTCAGAGGAAATAATAGAGATACGCTAAATAAAAGCTCTAACTCACAGCAATTCATTTATTCGCTGAGCGTTGGGTGACTCATGTATTATCTGGGAAAACAAATGGATCAACAGAAATAATTTGCCTTTTTAACACCTAAGAAGACAAGTGCCTCTGGGATGGTGTGTGTGTGTGTGTGTGAGAGAGAGAGAGAGAGAGCTGTTGCTTTAGCTCATTTTCCCAGCCTCGGTTTCCTCAATGATAAAACACTACACAGGGAATTTTTACATAAGGTGATGTGTAAAAAAACGGCTTCAAAATGCATTTGCACTAGAACATACTGGGCTGAGCCTTGGCTTGGCTTTTCTGCATTAAAAGCCGGCTCCATGGATAAGTGACAGACAGAGCAAGCCTTGTAACCCACTAAGTGTGTCCACTCCAGGTCGTCAGAAGGGCTGACTGGGCAGCTGTTCTGCCATATCGCATGAAGGACTGACTTGACCCCCTCCCTGTCTTAAATGTGAATAATTTAGCTTGCTAACACATAGTCCACCCTGCTTTTCATTTCTTTTGAATTTTAGAAACACTGGCTCTCACTTCATGGATGCTAGTTTTTGTGTCTAGACTGTTTTAAGTTCTCAAGATCTTAAGGACTGTATCGAGCCAGGTGGAAGGAGAGTGAGGAAGCATGGGAAAGGGGGCCAGACCAAGTTTTCTTTTTATGGAGAGATGTGAGACTTCCATCCTTTCTTCAGTCTTATTAGGTTCTGATCCAAAGATATTTGGAAAGATCCCCCCCTGAGGGGATTCCAGATCAGTTGGTAGCTATGTGACCTCAACAGGAAGTTCCCACCCAGAGCAAGAAGATTCCTTGGCAGAAGAGTGTAATCGGCCTCTCAGGGACTAAAATGTGTTTACTCTTCTAGATTTACTTTTGCAGTGTTGGGGTCTACTTACTACACCTCTGAGTTCAAAGGTGTTGCTTTCTGCTATATTTATTTAGATGCCTTCAGCTGCAAAAGCCCTTGGCCCTTAGATACAACACAGACATTCCATTGTGAGGAGAAGTTCAGGGTTCATTTGGGCTGTGACGTGCTTGCAGTGCCAGAAGTCCAAGTTTAACACTTTGATTTTCCAGGCTGTACCCACGCCACGCAAGTGCGCTGAACAACCTGGGGACGCTGACAAAGGACACGGCCGAAGCGAAGCTGTACTACCAGAGGGCCCTGCAGCTGCATCCACAGCACAACCGTGCCCTTTTCAACCTGGGCAATCTCCTGAAGTAAGTGGACGGGCTTCTGCTGGGATCAGTCCAGAGAGTGACAGTCACAGGGAACCAGAAGGGTTGCATAGCCACGAAAACTGAGCAGGTGCTGTGCTCCAAAGACCTTTCCTGTGCTTCTGGTCCCTTGTGAGTCTTTATGAAGGACTCCACGGGGTACAGCCATTCCAAGACTAACGTTCCATAATATACTTCCAAGAAAGCAGTGTTCTCTGAGGGTAAAACGAAGGGCCTCCTGTCCAGGATTCATGCTCAGCTTGGATTAAGGTTAAAAAAAAAGCCAACAAATAACAAAAACAGCAAAAGCCAGGCTTGTTTGGAGTTAGAATAATTCTCAGGAGGGACGACAAAGATGGATAATGGTTAACTGCAAGTAGTGCTCTCGCAGAGGACCGGAGTTCAGTTCCCAGCACCCCTTTGGGCAGCTCAAAGCTGCCTGTAGCCCCAGATCCAGAGAATCTGATGCCCTCTTCTGGGTACACACACATGTGTGAGAATACTCATACAGATACATACACATAAATAAAAATAAATTTAAAAAAATGAAAATTAAAAGGCGTGAGAAGGGTGAGTTCGAGTTGTCGTGACAGCTGGCCAGCTGCAGGCTGCTCTCCACTCCACCTCTGTGTCTTCGTGTGAAGTTGTGAGGACTCGGGTTTGCACGTCACTGGAGTGGCTCTGTGTGCTTTGTTTATAGATCAGATGAGGGGGTAGAAAATCCCACAGATATCTCCTTAGATAGATGGCTTCTCTAGCACTAGTTTCAGAGATCTTTTCAATGCGTTGGGTTTTGTTTTTTCCCAAGAAGCCAAGCTGAGTTGCTGGCTGCAGAGTGAAACACCTTGTCAGGAATTGTCCCTAGTTCTTGTCCCTAGTTCTGTTCTCAAACCGTACAGCACGGCTCTATGACAAGGGTTCTGTCCTCTTTCCTCCTTCTTGGAACCAAGCTGAGGATGTTAATCCCAGCCCTTCTTCCATCCAGTCTGTCTCCACGGACCTCCTCGGTGATTATATCTGAGTTAACACCACAGGAAAGAACGCTTTAGAACTGGTAATGGCTGCTTTCCAGCGAGAGGGGCTACTGACTTAGCGGCGTGAGGCTTTCCCCAGCTCCATAAAGTCAGTTCTCACCCAGCTCAATAGTATGGCTTTACATCTGTGTAAGACTGGAGGTTTCTGGGGACCTTTCATGTCCCATGGGGCTCTTCCAGTGAGACTTCAGTGTGAGTGGGAAGAGGAAATGGGATCCTAAGTGCCACGCATAGGGAGAAGCAGCCGTGTCTCAGTGTGAGTCTCAGAGTCCAGTGGGTGAAGTCACGTGAATAGCTAACATTTGTGTAGTACTTTCTGACCAACAAGTTAAACAAGTTATAGATATACAACATACTTGTAGTGCATGTGTATGTATATAGCTGCACTCTGTAATTCCTAAAACAACCTGTGCTAAGAGGTGTGGCTATCTTCATCTCCTCTCACGGGTAGGGAACCCAAGGCTCCTCCAAGAGCTATGTGACCCTGACCTAGGCTTGTGACTGACCCAGGATGGAAGTCTGCCTTTTGTTTATTCTAAATAGTCCCCCAGCCACAGATTACATGATATCAAGCTGTGTAAGCGCTTGCCCTGGCCTTGTGGAGACCTCCTAATAGGCTTTCTGCAGAAAGCAGCTCAGTTTGCTCTCATTACACAGAGCTTGCTTGCTAAGTGGCAGAGGAAGGGGATGCAGAAAACCGCAGGGCTACTCTGCATTTCGATGGCTGGGAGCTAACCTCTGCTTCCCCGATGGGTTTCTGGGCCAGTAGTAATGAGCTGAAATCGAGAGAAGGGTAAGAAGGTTGCAAATACAGGGAAAGTGCCCAGATCTACAGTTTCTTCATCCATACCCTAGTTCTCCCTCGAGTCAGCTTTTGAGTTACTGCAGTTGGTTTTATAAAACCATGCCTCTTTCTGTAGTGTAGAACACAGTTTGTCTGCGAGCAGCCCAGGTCTGACCATTCCTAAGAGGCAGCCACTCCCCATTCCTAGTTAATAAATGAGCATACTGAAGTTTGCACCAGAGAAACCTCGGTACTTTTAGCTCAGCCCTGGCCACTGCCTCCTAGTGGCCCACATGGGAAGTGTCAGCCAGCTGAGACATGGCCACCAGCTACTGTATGAAAACTGCGTATCCAACTCAGGAAGTCATATTTTAAAACATAAAAATGAACTTTAATCATATATTTAATTAAACCCTAATATGTCTAAATTATTATTTTAGTGCATGATTAATATTTTATGATGGTTTAAATTTTTAGCATAAAACATTGAAGATATGAATGAGATGACTTGCGTCCTTACACTTAATCTGTGAAATCTAATACATATTTGACACTCACAGCCCCTCTCTGAGCGGCTACTTTAAATATGCAATAACCACACTTGGGGATGATTTCTGTCTTGGCCCCCACTGCCTTTTCTAATAACCTTGACTTTGAAGGAAACACAGGTCCTTTGTCCAGGCCTGAAAGTCTAAAAATGAGAAGTCCCTCTGTCAGAGAATGCCATCCAGCGCGCTGCAAGTTGCTCAGATTCTTGGAATGATTTGACCCCTGCTTCAGCAGTAGCATCTGAGGGTTACCCACCTGTCTGTGGTCTCATCCGAGCCGTGTCCTGAGCTGTTTGAAGCGTCTCCATTGCGAGTCTGCACAGCACATCATGGTGGAAGACTGAGCAGCGATCGTAGTGATCGATGACGGCTTTTCTTGGGACTTAAAATATCAGAAAGGGAAAGAGAAAAAAGACAAGAAAGAAGCAAGGAACACTTGTGATTTTTATGGGCAAAGGTTGCAGAAGTCCCCAGTTGTCAAGAGGGCACAACAGCATTTAAAATCGGGGTCTGGGAAACAGTTATGTGAATGCACAGTTAAAACACATGGTGGTGTTTGCTACTAATGAAAAATGAAGAAATGTAAGGGCTCACGTTGTACCCCTGCCCATCGCTACAACTTCCATCCCGTTAGAGGATACGGTATCTAAACTGTTTCTGTGACTCTGGTGGTGAAAACAATGACAGAACATACCAGAACGCCCAGCAATGGGGCTGTGTGATAAACTGAGCAGTGGCATTTTATCTTTTTTAATCAGTTCCTTCAGAATGAAGACCTGCCAAAGACCGTGAAGAAGTAGGCACATTGTTTTATTATTATGTATTATTTTATAGTGTTTGGGCACCCTTCCTCATGCGTCCTCATTGGCCACACAGTGTTTTCACGGAAGGACATCTGTACGCACAAGATGGTAGATCTACTTCACACCTTGGTTTTCTTTGGGGATGGAATTTCACTCTGTAGCTCAGGGCCTTGAACTCATGGCAGTCCTCCTGCCTCAGCCTCCTGGGTGCTGGGATTTCAGCCACAAGCCTTCACCTTTTAACTTCAGCACAAAGTGCCAGTTTAGTGGGTAAAGGTGCGCTTTCCCTGGCTGTTGCCACCTTGCGAGCACACCGTGAGCGGACACGTTCTGGTTCCAACTCTCGGCCGGAAACTCTCCCCGAACCGCCAAAGTTACCTGTCTGTAGTTCGGTGACTCCTGGGTTGATTTATCTCTATACAGCCCTGGTCCCATTATGTCTTTCCCTAACCCATGCCTGCCTTTCTGCAGTAACTCTCCAGCTTCCAGCCCAGCTCCGCATCCTGTGATGCCTTCTGCATCTTCATCTACACTGGTCCAACATCACCGTCTCGAGCACCGGGCCTACCCCCACCCTACCCCCACTCCCTGCTCCAAACCTCTGCCGCCATCCATCCATAGCCATCTCCAGTAACCGCCAGCTTCCTCGCTTTTGTTCATCCATCTCCGCTCCACTTGGGTACTTCCCAACGTGGCTGCTGCAACACTGACTTTCTAGGCGTGGGAACGTCTTTATTCCCTAGTTCCTGGATTCTGACCTCCGAGCTTTGGTCTCTTACCTCCGCTTGCTCACTTTTCCTTTCTCCCGCTGTCTTCGCTCCTCCTGACCTTCATGAGTCGCCATCTCCGTGTTGGGTTCTTTCCAGGCCTTTCTGTGACCAGACCTCCTGCAATGAGTGCAGGTCTCTGCTTATCCCACCTTACCGCTGGCCTGCTCACGCCTTGGTTAGATCCCCTCCGTTCAGTCCCTCGTATGACATTGTTTTGCTCCTGTCCCCTTCATCCTCTCATGCACTTTGCGTTGGCACAGAGTCCAAATGTCTCAGCATTCAGGATTTCCTGTCCCTCACACTCATTTCCACTCTCCTGTCCTCAGCAAACCCAGACCCAGCTAATACTGACCAGTGGTCAGTGTGTGAAAGACACCTGGCAGACTACATTGACTGAGGCCCTCAGCAAGACTTAAAGTTAAAGCTATTGGAGGATTGGTCACTCCCCCGGGGGTGAGGGCTGCTAGGCTGGATGTGGCCTGGCAACGTCCCCGCCTTTCCTGCCTCCAGAGAAGGAGCTGCCAGAACAGCCCGCAGCCTGGTCTAGCCCAGTGCACCTATAACTGCCTGTCAGCCCCGGGGACATGGTGGTGGCAGACATGGGGGAGTGTGATGCACCTACGGGGGTGGGCACAAAACTATTCTAGCCCACTAAAAATGTCTTGTTTCCCCTCCTTTCACAGTCATTTATCTGGGAAATGAAAACTTTTGCTGCCATCCCATAACTGAGAACGAGCGGATCATGACAGTACTTCTGCGAGCAATGCCCCCACAGCTGTGCTCACACTAAGATGCCAGGGTCTTAGCGCCTTCGTGGAGTTCCCTGGCTGTGATAAACACGGTCCAGGCCAGAGCAGAGTTCCACAGGAAGCAGTCTTTGTTTACAGTCTCTGGAAGGATTGTCATCAGCTTTCCCTGCACAGATATCTCTAGGAAAAGATAATGCACCAAGCCCAACTGGGTTGCAGTATGAAAAATTTCCACACTAGCCCAGAATGGAGTATCATAAAGGTTTATTTATTAGTGGTTAAACTCACAGAATTTATTAGGGGATAAACTCACAG